AATTAGAGTTCACATTTTTAAAATGATATCAAAATTTCAAAATTATGATCAATGTCAAAAAGGTGTTGTATTCAGTATCTAATTTGAATAAATCTTTTAATGTCAATCCATTCATAAAAATGGAATATAAAATGCACAATAGAATGGAATCTATTTTAAGATTGTTGGACAAATTAGTGCATAATTATATTCCTTTTAACTAAAAACATGTATATGCAAATATAATAAAATCGTAACTTACTTGATCAAAATATCGGGTAAAAAGAAGATGAAATAAAACAAGGTATGCGATTGTAAATCTCCTTAAGACAGATTTTGTTCCATGCAATGGTGGTAGTAGGATCAAATGGACGTCTAATTCCCAAGCTACAAAGGTTCTTCTAAAATTAATGTAGCATAATATTAATTTAGCGGACGAACCAAAGTGTTGAAAGTAAGTGGAATAGACACTAACTAAAATTTTCTTGGGCGAAATTTTATTTCTAAACATAATTTGGACAAAATTTAATTTCAAAAAAATAAAAACAAAAGAATATTTTGAAGAGATGAGAGAATCTAGAAATCAATTTTTTCTTGAATAATTTTGGTGTAAAGAATTGAAATTAGGGGTCCCTATTTATGGATTTTGAAGTGTTTTTTCGGGAATGGTTGAATCTTTTGGCAAAGCTCCATTTTGACCATTAGATCACCCCATTCATATTTCGTGATCTAGAACGCACCCTATCGAAGATTTATAACTTTTCATCATGTACATTTTTAAATAATCACATCAAATCGAAACAACATGACTATTTGATATGCATCGTATGTATTTGAAAAGTTGGGATTAGTTATCGCACCAATTGTAAACGTTTTCCATTCACACGTATTCATGATGATCCCACAATTTACAACAAAACCTAGAGATGTGAGCATGTGGTCCCCATCTGCACTTACCTAAAATGCTTGACAGGTTGATGCAGCATCCATGCTGCCAAGAGTGGTATGTACACTGACAAAGTCAATGAATAAATAATGGGAAAAGTTAAAATAATAAATCATAAAATGTAATATTTTGCGTAGAAAATGTGGTGCTTTCTTTAATACTTTATGATGTATTCAACAAATGTTTTACTTTTCTTGTGTTGACCTATGGTTGACTTTATTCTTAATATTTTGATCATAACAAACAAATTGATTTTTGTCTCTAACAATTGATTTTAAGTTTTCAAAGCATCATATGTAATATTAATCAATCAAGAAAAATAAGATCGATATCAAGACATTCACATTACAAATCAGACTTGCAATGAAGGAAGTGATGAAAATCGAGCATTCAAGATAAATCATTCGAGACAAAGGGCTTCGATAGTCAAGTATTAGAGGAGGATAGCGGATTAGATTTTTGCATTCGCTTGTAAATGTATAAATACTTCAATTCTTAGCACTTAACGATGAAAGCTCAAAACCATTTTACGTGCTAAAAACCACTTTGATCATTGCTTGCATAAATCATCTCTCTTTAAAAGTGAAAATTGATTTTCGAAATCGTAAGTGAACTTAGATCATATTTTAAGAATATTCACATCAAACCATGCAAAAACAAAATGGATCAAACTCTTAAAATACAGACATTCGGACACAGGAATGAACGTCTAGATGTTCATGCGAACGCCCGAATCATATAATAGTAACCTTTTTTTACCATTTTGACATCTGATGTACAATTGCTATTTTTTGTACGTCTGGAAAAGGAAGTGAACGTCCAATTGATTGTCCAGTTCCACATATATTTTTGCTCATTGAACTCTATAAATACATTCACTTTTTGCATTCATTAAAAGACTTTTTTTAGAGCATTAACGTGAGATATTCTTGAGCGAAATCACATTGATCTTACATCTTATTTATCATCAAATCATTTATTGTGAAAACATTTGATTGAGAGAACAAAATCCTTTATTCATCTTTATCATCAAAGTTTTCTCAATTAAGAGTTGAGCTTTCATTTATTGCAATCCATTGAAATGTTAGCCTACCCATCTCTCTCTGAATTCTTAATTTGTCTATATCAACTATAAATGAGAAATTTAAAACTGTAAAATTATTTTTCTCTTCAAACTTGTGGGTTATATTGAGGTCCCAGAAAACTCAATATTGTAAAAAGGTCGGTGTTCCTTGTATGTAAGTTACCAAGAGCTTTGTAAGATTTTGGATTGTGCCATAAGTCAATCAAATATAGTGAAAATGCCATACTCGTGATAGAGAGCTCGAAAATGGTGGACGTAAATTATCGATTTAGATCGAACTTCCACAATTATTTCGCTTACTTATTATCTTCCTGTTTACTTATAGCTTTCATAATTGTCTTCTTTGCTTGATTGATATACTGATTCTAAAATTATTTTAAAACTTTGTAGTAATCTTTCGAAAAAAAATTAAAAACAATTCACCCTCTTTTAGTTAGTTATTGTTGGGCTTTCAATAAGTTTCAGAACGAGATGCTCATTTTTAAAAGAAATCACAATTTTGAGCAATGACTAGCCACAACTTTCAAAACCTTAAGAGACATTCTACAAATCGTCCTCCCTTCTTTGATGGCACACACTATAATTAATGAAAAACTAGGATGATGATATATGCTCAATCCATAGATTATAATATTTAAGAAATCATTGAATATGGTCTTTATGTGCTTACAAAGATGATTAAGGTTGAAGGTAAACTAAATCAAACCATTCCAAAACCTAGAGAAGAATATGATGAAGACGATAAAAGAAAATTATCTTTAAATGCTAGAACCAAAATTTACTTTATTGTTCTTTAGATAGAAATGAATTTAACTGTATTAGCACGTGTGATTCCGCATATGATATTTGACATGCACTAGAAGTCACTCATGTTGGTACGAGTAAAATAAAGGAAACCAAAATTAATCTTTTGGTTAAAGAATATAAGAATCTCTTCATGGAACAAAATGAATCTATTGTCGATATGATTACGTGCTTTACCGATATTGTTAACGGGCATAAAGACTTTGATCATAAATTTATTAACGGTGAACTTGTAAGCAAAATGATGTGTTCACTATCGACAAATTGGAGCTTATTAAGGATGTTGATAGAGAATGCCAAAGATATCAACTCATATCCATTAAAAGAGCTTTATGGTACCTTGATAACTTATGAGCTCAACAACGTCGAAACTGAAAAAAAACGAGGAAAAACAAACAAGAATCAAATGAGCCTCCTAAATTCCAAATTGCTTTAAAATGGGCAATTGAAGAAGGAACTGCAAGTAAAAACATCAGTGATGAAAAACTCGATAATCTAGTTCTTATTATTAAAAATGGAAAGGTCTTCGTAATAATTAGAGGTTTCAAAAGAAAGAAGAAAATGGTGAAAAAAGAAGTGAGAAAACCATTTGCTGTGATTGTGACAAACCCGGACATAAGAGAACTGAGTGTCCAAACAAGAAAAGAAATATCAAGAAAGAGGCAAATGGACAAGTTGCCTTTAATTGTCTAACCAAAAAGAGACTACACTTTGAAAGCAAAAATAAGTGGACTCAAGATCAAGAGTTCACTAAAACTAACTATCAATGACCCAATCTTATATAGGTACCAATGATGAAAAAATAAATTATCCTTGTAGGTATCAAAGAATAAAAAAGCAAATGATTTTTGGATAGTGGTTTCTCAAAGTACATGATCAGAGATTGGACTTTGTTATCAAATTTCAAAAAGAATGATGGAGGTCATGTCACACTTGGAGACGATGTAAAAGGAAAAATAATTGGAATTGGAAGCATTGGTAATCACTTATCCTCTTCAATTGAAAATATTTTATTAGGAGATAACCTCAAACATAATTTGCTTAGCATTAGTCAATTATGTGATAAAGATTATTATATAAAATTCGATTCTTACAAATATCTTATTAAGTAAGCTATATCAAAAGAAGTGATATTTATAGGAAGCTAAAGTAAATGTGTTTGTATCATAAATATCAAATTTGAAAATAATGAAAAATGTTTATCAAACTTAAAAGAGGATGTTTTGTTATTGCATAGAAGATTATGTCATGTTAGCATGGTCTTCTCCAAAAAAAAAAAAAAAAAAATTGTTTCGTCCAAGGATTACAAAATTTTAAATTTGAGAAAGTTAAGATGTGTGATGCTTGTGGATTTGGGAAACAAGTGAACAGTTCTTTTAAACCTAACTTGCACTCTTCATCTATAAAACCTCTACGGCTTCTCCATATGTATCTTTTTGGACCATCTAGAACCGCTAGCTTTGGCGGTAAAAATTATGTTTTCGTCATTATCAACGACTTTTCTAGATATACTTGGATCCTATTCTTGAACCTAAATGATGAAGTCTTGAATGCTTTTAAACACTTTTATAAAAATGTTCCGATGACCCCGGTAAAACTTTACAGAAGTTTTATTCCTGAGTTAGTGATTATGCAGACACTTGAATATTTCCCACTAAAATTTATTCGGTGGGTACTATAAATATTTTGGTATTCCAGAGTTAGTGATCATGTGTAGATATTTGAAATTTGGTTATGAATTAAAACTGGTCATGATCCTTGCTTCAAAATGTTTTTGTACTTCCACTGCATTAGTTGACCCGCTGCAAGGCATTTAGATGGTCTTTGGTCCTAAAAATCAATAGTTATGTTATTGAACCTACTAACATTGCTTACAAAATAATCAATCCCGTGTAATGCACGGACAAAAACTAGCATTTATAAAAAGTGTGGATGAAAATAGCTGCGTCCAAACAAAAAGTGAATCTTTTAATTTAACAAAGAAAAACAAATTTACAGTCATGGAAGATCCAAAAGCAAAACTGGATCGGCTCCGAGTCCGTTTACCAGACAGATGGTTACAGACAAAAAGTCAGAGAGAGAGAATTGTAAACGCCATACAGATATACAGTTATACACAATATATATACAATAATATTTATAGAGGGAGACACCGAGAGCAAGAGAGGTCATTGGTTCATCTGGAAAATGAACGGCGGCCCATCTGGTTTCAGTATGTTTTAATCCGTATACCATAAAAATTTCAATTAATTACATGATCTTTTACTCACTTTTTTCGGATAAAATACTATGGAAATGTAGAAAAACTGTAATAATGTTGATTTTCTTTGCAGACAACGCACCGGTGACAAGGACGATAATAATTGCTAGCGCCCTTTTCACGATCCTCTTTGGAATTCGCGGTCGCTCCGGCAACATCGGTTGGTCCTATCAGGTACTCATTTTGCTAAAATATTGCTAGGTTTTCAGTTGTATATATACATTTTGGAAAATTATACGTGTGCAGGGTACCATCTCCTTGTGAGGGGTTGTAAACCTGGGTGACCGTACTTCTACCATCTCCCATATATTTTTAATTTGTTTCATTGACGTTCTCCCGTTTGTTATTGGTTTTGATTTGTGCTGGTAATTTCGTGATTTCTGTTTCTCTTTGCATTTTTCACCTTGAAGCCTTATGGTTTTCTTTCCATTCTGTCCTTGATCATAGTATTTTGGTTTTAATTTTGTCAATTTTAGTTGTTGGTAATTGATTGCAGATGACTCTGTTGATTTGATTGAAGCTTATACTATAATCTTCTAGCATAGTATTTGAAGAATTTAACTTATTGCTCATATAACTTCAAAATCTTGCTGCCTGAGAATTTGAGAATATATTAATGACTGATTATGAGTAAGATTTAAACAACTTTACCCTTTCCCTAGACATTCATTGAGTTTATATCCCCTAAATCCTGATTCTTAAGCATGTGGATCTTTAGTTAGGTCATTACTCTATAAGACGAGTATAAAGTAGATCAACCTGCCTTATTACTAGATGAATGCGATTTTAAATGCTTTCCTAACGTGTATCCCAAATTCTAGACTATGGGTTAATATTTTAAGTTGCAGCCTTGTCATTTTAAATTTCATTACCAATATTTTTGTTTTGCTGTGATTTTACTATGTTTTGATTTCTTATTCTCACAAGCAGGATTCACAGAGTTCACAATAGTGTAGTTATTCATGCCAGATAGGAAACTATACTTTTTGGTTGAATCGTAATCTTAGGTAATCTTAATTTATTGAATATCTGTTTCTTTGTATGGACTTGTGTTATGTTAGTGTTATTTAGTCATCGACCCAAATGAACAGATATGGTAATAGAAGCTCTGCTGTTTAAAATGAGAATCTTATAGTCAAATGAGGAACGAAATATAGTTGATACATTTAGTACTGAATTTATTTTCTGCTCTTCTAATTTAAGGTAACACAGGAGCATTAATTTATTGGTTTGCTCATGACAGGATATTTTCAAGAAACTTCAAATATGGAAGCTGATAGTGTCAGTTTTTGCCTTTTTGTCTACACCAGAACTAGTTTTTGGAATTTATCTGCTGTATTACTTTCGTGTATTTGAGAGGCAAATTGGTTCAAACAAATATTCTGTAAGTCTCTGTTCAACCTAAAACTTGTCATCTATTATTCATAAAGTCTATATTGTTTGTAATGGACATTTACCAACTGGAGAAAGAATATGTTACAGTTTGAGTATGAAGTACTTTCAACACTCTGAGATGTCTCCTTATAAATGCAATGCAAGGAATGTGAGAGAAAAATCTCATTGGTTTCTTTCAACTTGCACTGATCTGTGGGCATGTCAGATATTCAAGTTGATTTTTGCTTTCGAAGAATATTTGCCTTCGTATGCAAATGAAAAATTGAGTATTATATTTATTTCAATTATCTCAAAATTTAACTTTCGGCTAACATTGACGAACTTCTTGCACTATTGATACTGAAAATATGGATTGTCCCACTGGACAATGCTGACATAATATATTTGTAAAATTTATTCTTGAATTATGCTAACTAACAGCATTACTAGTGCAACCACTATCACTTGCTATAGTTTTTAAGCCTACTTTTTTGTTTGACTAGTTAAAATGAACAATGATGGAAGAAGCATTAAGCTTTTACCAGCATTTTCCTGACCTTCCTATATCAATATCTTTCAAGCAGGTCTTTATCTTGTTTTCAGTCTTCGCTGCTTTACTGCTTGAAGTCCTTGCACTAAAATTACTCAAAGGTATGCGTTATTATCTTTATCTTTTTTTGTTCCTTTAGTGACTTTCATTGGCTTCCTGCTTGAAGTTACAAGTATGACGTTAATATAGAGTATCCTTAGCAATTTGCTTGCGAAGCGCGAGATTTTTTAATCATTTGACACCACATGAAACTGGCTCGAGTATTCTTTTTTCCTTGAAATAATTATATCCTTACTATCTTGTTGATCAACAATAAATCGGATACCTATTATTATTAGATTAACGAATCTAATGGGTCACGTCCAAGTAAATTTGACAATGTAAAGAGTTTGTAGCATTAACTTTCTGGACACATTGATCAGGTGGCTCATCTAAAAAGTAAAAGAACAAAGAAAAGAAAATATTGGGAAATTATGGCCTTTTTCTCTCATTTTTTCTTGTATATCCTCCATTTCATTGTTCATTTACTGTTTGCTCATGGGATTGTTGGATTCTGGTGCACTGGAGTGATGGACAATAACCTATCTGAAATATATTCACCTACATCTTGATTATACATCTTGATGGTAGTTTTTATTCTGATCCTTAATCCTTATTTTTCCGGCAGATCCCTCCTTGACTGTACAAACATCAGGACCCTATGGTCTTATATTTTCTTCGTTTATACCCTTCTATTTCGACATTCCAGTTTCAACAAGGTTTCGAGTGTTTAGCCTCCACTTTTCCGACAAGACTTTTATTTATTTAGCTGGTCTTCAGGTAATTCATACTAAGCATGACTATGTTCTTTTTCTTGTTTTTCTTTTCCCAATTTTGGGTACTTATCATAATCTAATGCCCTGTATATTCTTTGCATATTTATTTTGCAGCTTCTTCTGTCATCCTGGAAAAAATCTCTGTTTCCTGGGATCTGTGGTATTCTTGCAGGTTCCCTGTATCGCTTGAATGTTCTTCACGTACGCAGGATTAAGGTTCACCAATTTTTATTTTATTTTTCTATTTTGTTTTGTCCACTTCATATATGCCCTTGCCTTCGACAAAACTGCATGAAGTGTTTATTTTATTTCTTGAAGCTGCTATATATGCATGACTTTTCATGTTCTTCTTTCCTTTCAGTTTCCCGAGTTTATTACCTCATTCTTTTCTCGACTTTCTTGGCCATTCATGGGGAGTACATCACCCACTGCACCAGCTAGGAATATCCCGGGAAGTACCCCATTCCATGCAGGCCGCCAAGTGGAGGCAAGTATAAAGTTGATTTCTAGTATTGTCATATTCATTCATATATAAGTAGGGAAGCTTTCAATTTCTTGCACTGTGCTGCTGGTATTTTTCTTCTTATTTTTTCTTTTTCTCTCTTTCAGTTAATATGATGGTAGTTCACAAAATCATGGCAGAGTCATGGAAAACATTTGCGTCATCTGATAATTTTTTGGCCCAATCCTTCGCAAAATTGCACCATTGATTTCCAACCTATTAACTGAGTAGCAAGTTGATCCTCAACCTTTCATTGCTGTTGCAGAATCAGTCTTATAATGTCAAAAACTATCAACTTTTGCTAAATCATCTTGTGGTCCTCATAAGTCCGACTTTATTAATTTAGTTTCGTTTTCTCAATTTGGGCCACTGCTTAGAAATTTTGAGGAAGGTATTTTTCCACTAAGGTCATGACAATTTAACTAAAATTTACAAGTTTCTGTTGATTGTACAACTATACTAAGCCCCTGTTTGGCACCCATTTTTTCCTCATTTTCATTCTCATTCTTTTTCTCATTCTTCATTTCAACCTCACATTCTATCAATAAAATAATATTACACAAAAATCTAAAAATTCTCTTTACTTTTTAACCACACATTCTTCAATCAATCACTATTCAAAAACATATTTTTCTACTAAAATGGGTGTCAAACACCCCCTAAAAGGTTGAGGACCATTTTGCAACATGGACAATAGGTTGGGGACCAATGGTCTAATTTCCGGAATTGAATGAAATCCAGATTCAGTAATGAACAAACATATTTCCACTTTTCTGTGAAATGTATATACACAAATTATCTGTCTTTGCATATAGTGTTGTTTATAAGTTGTACGTGCATACCCATGGGTGCACTATCAACTGTATCCTCTGCTCAGGCCATTTTCAATAAATCTAACTTTTTCTTGGTTTCAGGGGAACTATCCTGCATCCTTGTCGTCTACAATAGAGCCACCGGAGGACTCGGTTGCCACACTGGTTTCAATGGGGTTTGAGAGGAACTCAGCTAGGCAAGCACTGATTCATGCCAGAAATGACATTAATGCAGCCACCAACATTCTTCTCGAGTCACAATCACATTGAGCAGGCAATGATTTGGCTTTGGAAAACGGAAGGTCTACTCAAATGAAGTTGTGATCTTGTCTATAGCTGGTTGACCCCTAGGGCCTTCGGAGGCATCGATTTTAATGTGTATAGTTGTTCGAGCATGCAGGTTATTAGTAAATTGAACTTCTGATTATACTGAAGGTTAATTTTTGAAGAGTTGGACATTGTTATCTCGTGTTCCATTTCTCTTACCACAAGTTTCCACTATACGAAGAAATGAGCTGCTTGAGGACGACTCACAGACATATCATGTTTGGGTGGCTTATAAGTTGACTTATCATGTTTAGGTGACTTATAAGTTGACTTCTAAGATGGAGAGAAAAAGTATGTGCTTTTCTAAACCCACCGGTGCTCATAGTACACCGGTGGCACGTTTGGTAGGGTGTAATGGATAGTACAAAACTGAATTATACCGTCCAATATTACAGCAAACCAAACATGCCTTAAATGTCAAGAAATCAACATATATGTTTCTTGATTATAGTAGATTGATATCGCTACAGCATATGCAGTGCTAGCCTATAGTTTCAAAAAACTCTACAACGAACCAAACATGTCTTAAATATCAAGAAATCCAGTGTTATTGATTATGGTAGATGGTATTCCTACAGTACGCTGTGCAAGCCTATAGCTTCAAAAAACTCTACTAAGCATCGCAGATCGTGAGTAAATCAAACAGGAAAAATATCATAGAATATGAAAAAAATTGACAGAGAGGCACATTGTGGAATGGTATCAGAGATTAAAATGCCTAACAAAAATTGATGCTATGTAATACTACCTACTTTTTTTATCAAACAAAAAGGAGCAGCTGTAAAACTGTATCAATTAATTGCTCGAGCAACTCTAACCACTACACAAGTTTCAGACAAAGTGGCTGATATATCAAGTTTCACACACAAGTCTGACTCAAAACTGGTAGAACAATTGTAACCTTGTATCATTGGCACCCTTGTCAAAATATGCATATGAGATTTATTCCTGATAAAATGTAAAAACATGTAGAACCCAATATTATATGGTGCTGATGTCTACTCGCTCTTTTGTGAAGCTGAAAGGCTGGAGCAATCCAGCTCCCACAGCTGCGCTGAATGCCAGACCAGTTGAAGTAGCCTAAGCGGGCTTCCCAGTGGGTACATAACAGCTTGCCCTCGAGTTTGATGACTGCACGACATCAGAAAACCCAATAACTTAAACATGTACATTCTGGTAAAAGGTGAGTCTAGAATAATGTCAATTGAAATAAAGCTGAAATTTCAAATAATCGTAGCATGAAAAAGAAAAGGTTAGGGAAGCTAAAAAAGACAATGAAGCGTAACCAATTTTGTAGTGAGACCGTGCAAAACTACTTTGGCTCTAAAATATTTTTTGGCATTCTTGAACATAAAACCGCTTCAAGAATTCTTACTTTAAAAGATGAGTTTTCAAGATTTTTTTGTGGTTGAATCACATTGTTTTTCCAAAATCCAAACTCTACATTTTTAGCACTCCAATGATCTCATTCTCAATCATAATAGAACGAGATTATTACCCATAATCTAAGTGTTAAATTTTGTGAATTTTTGTAATGACCCAGATTTTATATTCTTAATTTGGTTGGTATAGTCCATTTAAGAAATAAATTAAGGAATCTCGGCCCATCTAGGGTTATGAAAGTACAAGCTATAAGTTATTTATA